GCTATGAGTTGGAAACGACTCGACGGCACTTAACAACAACAACAACAACAACAGTCCTGCATTTCATTTCATTTTAGGCAGTGGTTTTTTTTGTTTTGTTTTTAAATCATTTTAACGTTGGTGAGGATAATACACTACCCAACATGCCCCAGCACACCAGTCTCTCCGTGTGTGATCCAGTGACGCTGATTGCGTTCTTCAAATTAGGCAGCCATCGCCACCCTCCTCTTCTGCTCTCTTGGCAGTTTGGATGTGGTAGTGAACCTTTCTGGGTACTTAATGGAGTGTCTGGTACTGTGCACCATGCCATCCTGACAGCCGCCTTGAGGCTTGGCTGCCTCCAGCTCCATCACAGCTCAGGGGCCTTGGGCTTAGGGGGGAGGTGAAGTGACTTACCCAAGATCCCACAGCTAGTGGGTCTGATTCCTGATGCTGTCACTTAGGAACTGCAGGTGTTAGTGAACTATGAACCTCGGCTCAGTTTCCACATGTAGAAAACGGGGAGAGCACACTCACCCTAGGGGGCATGCAAGATGAAATAAGTCATTTTTGTCATACCCTTAGTGCATTGCCTAGTGTCTATGAGCCATGTGGGGAATTTTCACCACTTTTATAAAAAAGAACTGAATTGTATGTGGATTTTAGACTAGGGTGATGTTACAGTTGAAACCAGTAGGTTCTTCAGGGGCCTCTATGGTCCCCCCTCTGCTTTGCCTTATGGAGGAAGGACAATGGGGAGTTCTTACAGAAATGGGGCACGGGACCAGCTAGTAGATGTGACTGCTGATTTTCAAAGCGTGGAGAGCGAATAACCCACTGAGTCTTTTCTCACCATCGATTCTGTTTGCAGTTGGCGGGTCGGGATTCTGCAGTTCGGGCAGAAATGCCAGGGAATCTCCAGCACTATGGAAGGTGGGCTCCTGCTGTTGGATGTGTGACGCTGGGTCCTGTTACCCTGTCTCATCAAGATAGGATCGGACACCCTGAGTTACTGTGTGCTGTTTGTCAGCAACACTCATAAAGGAAAGGTGCCCTAGTGGACCAGTGGTGAAAGCGCGCGATTGCCAACCAGAGGATCAGTGGTTCAAACCCACCAGCCGCTCCATAGGAAAAAGATATGGCAGTCTGCTTCTTTGAAGATTGACAGTCTTGGAAACCCTCTGGGGTGGTTCCACTCTGTCTTCTAGGGGCGCTGTGAGTCAGAATCCGCTCCACGGCAGTGGGTGTGGTTTGTTTAACCACAGAGGAAATTTTATCGTGTTCAGTGAATTAAAACTAATTATGTTCTAATTTGATGTTTTCCAAGTGCTGTGTCTAGCTTTGAAACAAAACCAAAACAGTTGCTGTCTGTTCAGTGGGAATGTGTTCTGTTTGAGCCTGTGTGTGATTTACCTCATTAAACTAAATCATCTCTGCTTGCTTTTCAGGTTTCTTACCGGACCCCTGAACCTTAATGACCCAGAAGCGAAATGCAGATTCCCAAAGATTTTTGTAAATACGGATGACACTTACGAAGAGCTCCATTTAATTGTTTATAAGGTAACTGCTTTTCCCTCTGGTGTTGCAGACTAGGACTCTGTAACTGTCTCCTGCGTGTGGCCACACGTCCAGGAGGACGCTCGTTCTCCTAAGTGTTTCTTGGAGAAGGTGCTGGAGTTGTGACTATTGTGCAGCTCAGAGGTGGGTGCTCTTCTGGAACAGGGTGTCTTCACTGCAGCTCTTTCACACGACGTCGTTGTTAGGGGGCCAGTGGCTGGAGGGCTGTGGTTGGCAGTTCAGTCCCTCCTGCTCGGGAGTCAGAGGCGCTCAGAGGGCAGGGTCTGTTCCTTAAATACCTCTGGGTGTGCTCTGGGCCACACTGCACTGACTTCCCCGATCATAAGGCTGTGGACTCCCTAACCCTGTGAGAATAGGGGTTTGGTCTCTGCCAGGAAATCGTATGTGCCTTAGGTTGGGATCTCTTTTCCACAGGCAGTTTTGTTCAAGAAAGGTGGCTGTGCACTTGTGTTGGTCGTCTTTCCCGCCTGGGACTATGATTAAATTTAAATTAAATTCATAAAGGTGAGAGATGATACCATGAGAACAGGAAGAGGAGGGCTGCGGAAGGGTGGGACATTGTGGAAGCCCGGAAGACAATGTCAGAGTGAGGCCTGGTGGAACAGGCGTGGGACGCTCTAGTTCAGGACGTGAGTGGAAGGGGGGTAGTGCTGGCAAGAGGCCCCCTGCCCTGCAGAGGGAGCCCGACAAGCCCCTGGCTTGAAGGCGGTTTCCTCAGATGTGAGAAGGCTTGTATATAAACCCCCTGCCTGGTCCTTTAGGAGCCGTGGGGCATGGTGGTTAAGTGCTTGGCTGCTAATCAAAAGGTCAGTGGTTTGAACCCAGCAGCTTCTTCGTGGGAGAGAGATGGGGCAGTCTGCTTCTGATTGACAGGCTTGGAGACCCTGTGGGCAGTTCTCCTCTGTCCTCTAGGGGCGCTGTGAGTCGGAATTGCCTGGAGGACAGTGGGTGGGGTTTGGGCTTTGCTTCTGTGGAGACCGCAGTCTAGAAAACCGCATGGGGCGGTCCCACTCTGTCCTGTAGGGCCGCTGTGAGTCAGCATCGACGTGGCGACGGTGGATTTTGCTTTGTTTTGTTTTTCCATCCTTGTGCACAGTCAGGCCTGCAGCCGAACACCTGTACCTGGGTGGAGATTGATGGTCTTTTTTTTTTTTTAAAGTTTAGTAATAATATATATGCCATTTTGAGATGTTTTACGTGTTCAATTCAGTGACACCAGTTAGAGTAACTATGTTCTGGAACTGTCCCTGGCTTCCATGGCCTGGTGTCCTGTCATCATTAACAGGTACTCAGTGGTTCCTAGATAATGGCTCCCCTTCTCTCTTTCTGCTCCGTCTTAACCACTCATAACCTTTGGTCGCTATGTTTGCCTGTACGAGACATTTTGTGTATGTGGGGTCATACAGTATTCTTTTGTGATAGACTCACTGCTCTTTGCATGTGCTTTAAGGTAATTGAGGGTCTTTCTCTGTTTTTAAATAGTTCTTTTTGGTGAGAATATATGGAGCAAAATGTGCACCCATTGACCAGTTTCTGCAAATGCATTTCACCGACGTCCTTTACTTTGTGTCAGGTTTCTTGCTATTTCTACGCAAAGTGTTTCACCACCGTTAACTCAGACCTTGGGCTCACTGCCCCTAAACTTCTCACCTGTGCTTCAGAGTAAGTGTTGTTAGTCTGGTCTTGTGTGTTTAGTCTTAGAGAGTGCGGTACTCAAGGTCTGCGTTCTTTACTAATTGAGCTAAACCATTGTTGAGTTTAAATATTACTTCGGGGCATAGTTTTGATTGAGGGTCTAAAGAGTATCCCAGGGCAGTAGATTCAGGGGTTTCTTCCGTCTCAGCGAGTCCAGTAAGTCTGGAATCTTTCAGAATCTGAAGTTCTGTTCCACTTTTCCCCCCTTTTGATCAGGATCCATCTATCACGTCCCTGATCAGAATATTTGGTGATGGTAGCTGGGCACCGTTCTCCGGTCTGTCACAGAGGAGGCGGAGACACATGGATGTAGTTAGTCCTGTAGACCTTTCCCTCAATTGAGGGTGGTCTTGGGGAAAGTGAATGATCTGGTGAGCCCTGGGGTAGCTCCTGTGGGTCTCAGCACCAAGACTAAGGCCCTACACTCTGCCTGGCTTTGCTGTGCAGCCAACGCTCGTGGGAAACCTTCCCGGGTCAGCCCCTGGTGGCTTCATTCTAAGTATGATTGGAAAAACAGACAAAACTGTAGATCCTGAAAGAAACACAAATTATTCCGAGAATAGACAAGCGCTTCTAGAAATTCTAATCAGCGTCTGCAGGTGCCAATAAAACTGAAACCAGATGATACACAAGTGCTCGGATCATGGTGAACGCGGGTTAACGGAAGATAGAATGCCTGCAATAAGTTCATTAGAACAAGGAAAGGTAAGTTGGACCGCCCTAGAATGTGGGATAAAATGACGAGATAAAAACAGGAGAGAAATGGTGAGCAAGATGGATTTGGTTCGGAGTTTCAGCCTTCTAACTACCAACCTGGAGGAGGAAAAGTGGTATTACGAGAAAATACCTAGCTGAAGAATGCAGCTGACCAGATTGGAAAGGCCCCTGAGGTCCAGGGCTGTGACTATAAGAGACCCTTACCCAGAAGCAGCTGTGGGCAAGTTCAGAAACTGAAAGATAAAGATCCTGAAAACTTCTAGAAGGAAAACCAGGTTGCCTGCGAAGGAGTGAAAATAAAACTGGCAGTAATGGGCCCCACCAGCACCGGGTGTTAGATGACAATGGAAGGGGGACCTGCAGAGTTCTGAGGGACATGATTTTCAGCTAGAATTCTTTGCTCTGCCAACCATCAGTCACAGGTGAGACAGGAGGAAGACATTTTAAACGTGTGGTGTCTAAGGCATTTGACTGCTAATCAGAAGGCTGGTGGTTCAAACCCACCAGCAACTTCTCAGAAGGAAGGTTGGGCAATCGAGTTCTGTAGTGATACTGCCTCAGAAACCTAAGGAGGGGTTGCTATGAGTCAGGTCCGACTTGATGACACATCATAACAACAAGAAGCCACCTCTGCTATGAGACTGGAAGAACTGGATGGTGCCTGGCTACCATTACTGATAGAGATACCATAGAAGGATCCTGATCAAAAGAAGAAAATGCAGAACAGAATTGCAAGTTTTCATGGACTCCAGATTTCCTGAAGCCACGAAGGTCGGGTGAACCCTGAAACTGTTGACATGGGATAATCTTTAAACCTTAAACCAAAAACATCCCCCGAAATCTTCAGACCAAAAATTGTTCAGCTTAACTAGTACAAAAGATCTGCCTTCAGCTTTAGGCTCCTTTAAGAACTGTTTCTGTGGCATCACATTGACAACAGCAACTGGAAAGATTAGATGAGGACTTTAGGGGGCAGTGAGTTTATGTGAATGAGGGAGGAACATCTCAGAAAGGAGAGTGAGAATGGTTGCACAACTCGAGGACTGTCGTCACTGTCACTAATTGTGCATGTAGAAACTGCTGAATCAGTGTATACTTGGCTGTTATATTCTTAGCAGCAAAATAAAATGTAAAAAGTTAAAAAATAATGCTGCTATAAGTAGTTACATGCATAATTTGTCTGGACCCATTTTAGTTCTGGATAGATAACTTACAGGAGAGTTTCTTGGTCAGTGGTAACTCTGTGTGTAACATTTTAGGAAACTATTTTCCACAGTAGCTGTATCATTTTACATTCCCACCAACAGTGCATGAGGGTTCTGATTTCTCCACATCCTTGCCAACATTTGTTTTTGTCTTTTTAATTATTGCTGTGCTAGTGGGTGTGAAGTGGCATCTCGTTGTAGTTTAATTTGCATTTCCTAATGGCTAATGATATCAAGCAGCTTTCCATGTGCTTATTGGCTGTGTCGGAAACCCAGGGAGAGGTCACTATGAGTCAGATCGGACTCGAAGGCAGCAACTTTTTGTGTGTGTGTGTGTGTAGAAATGTATATTGAGATCCTTTGTTCATCTTCAAATTGGGTTATTTATCCTTTTGTTATTGCATTGTCAGAGTTCATTATATATTCTGGATACACTTTCCTTATCAGTAATATGATTTGCAACTATTTTCTCTCATTCTGTGGGTTGTCTTTTCTTGGTGGTATCATTTGTAGCTTAAAATTCTTAATTTTTATGAAGTCCGCTTTACCTTTTTTTTCTCCCCCATAACTTATGCTTTTGGTATTAAATGTAAGAAGGCTTTGGCTAACCCATCATCGTGAATATTTGCTGCTATGTTTTCTTCTAGGAGTTTTATACTATATTTGTATATCTTACATTTAGGTCTGTGATCCATTTTAAGTTAATTTTTGTATTTGGTGTGAGGTAGGGGTCTAACTTTAATGTTTCAGTGTATGCTACCAGAGCTCCCTTTATACTATATTTGTATATCTTACATTTAGGTCTGTGATCCATTTTAAGTTAATTTTTGTATTTGGTGTGAGGTAGGGGTCTAACTTTAATGTTTCAGTGTGGATGTCTAGGTGTTCTAGCACTATTTCATCATAGAATTATCTGGGACCGTTGTCAAAAATCAGTTGATCACAAATTAAGGATTTATTTCTAGACTCTCAGTTCCATTACATTGATGTATGTAGTTGTCTTTTTACCAGTACTATACTCTTGTGGTTATGGTAGCTTTGGTAGTAAGTTGGAAATTGGGACATGTAAGTTCTTCAACTTTGTTCTTTTTTCAAGATTGTTTTTGGCTATTCTTGGTCTTTGTAGTTTCCAAATGAGTTTTTGAATGAGCTTATCACTTTCTGGGGCAGGGGGCAAGAACTTTGAGGATTTTGAGAGGGATAGCTATCTTAGTTATTTAGTGCTATTGTAACAGAAGTGCTAACTCAAGTGATTAGATTTAGGACATGCCTTACACTAACACAAGGAGCTCTGGTGGCATGGTTCTACAGTCGACACCAATGGAAGCAGCAGACAGGATATCAGACATCGTATAGCATTGGGCG